CAGCTCCAAGCCTAGCAACTGTTCTGGCAACAGAGTTGGAATGGGTACAGATTGGGAAAACTGTAAGCTAACTTGGCAGAGGCAAAGGTGAAAAGCACCCCCCCACCACCACCACCATTGTGGAGAATTGGCCCGCATCCCTGCCAGGATGTGTACTGATGGCATATATTTTTCATTTTGGGAATTCACTGCGGAATGCTTGGACGTTGCTTTTTCCCACTTTGAACTCTGGAGAAGCCTGTGTTCTCTCTTGAAACTTCTCTTTTTCCATTCTGTCATTTCTGAAAGAAATTTATCTTACTTCAACTGTTCATCTTCTCCTGAAATTCTTTCCTGTGGGAAGGCGATGGCTCTAGAAAGGGCCTAAATAGCATTGAGGAGTGACTTTCTGTTCCTTCAAAGAGCAGCTCCACCCTCAAACCCCTCCTGGGAAATTAGGTGGCAGAAATAATTTCTCACACTGGGCAGAAGGAATAAGACTCAGGTTTGGTTCAGGACTGGGGAGACCCGAGGCCCATCTGCACAGGAGCCCACACAAGACTCTTTTCGTTCTAGATTTCCCCAGGCACTTCACCAGATGACCCAGGTAGGTAAGCAGAGAGGGACCCGGCAGACTGACACCTATCTCCCCCTAACGTCACATAAACTAACCAGGGAATGCTACTCTTCTGGTTGAAGTCACCTCTTTCATCTGCTGCCTGATCATGTCAATTATTCATTGCGTGACTGAGTCAGCCACAGCAGAGGGTTATCCCAGTGTCCGTTTTGTGTGGGTGTCAGAAAAACTGGAAGGAGTCATGAAGCATAAATACAGTTAAAGCTTCCAAGTTTTAACATAATATGAGACTGACACCCAAGGACAGTAAACACAAGGGCCAGAAATATTGCCCCATAGTAGGAAGCTTGCCTCATGAACTAGGGGAAAAGGCAGCTGGAATAGAGAAGGAATCACTAAGTCGATGATGGTTGGAAGAATCGTTCGAGATGGGAGATGTGTGCTGAAAGTAGATAAAGGGTCAAACGTGATAACCTCTCAGTATTTGTATTGCGAACCATAATGTCCAAAAGTAGAGAGAGAGGTTGGGGGAAATTGTCTGCCATGGAAGCAGGAGGAGAGTTGAAAAGGTGGGGGTGTATACTGGGGACTTTGGTGGTGGAGCATGCGCACTGGTAGAGGGATGGGTGTTTGATCATTGTATGACTGAAACTCAAACATGAAAGCTTTGTAACTGTATCTCACGGTAATTCAATTAAAAAAAAAAACACTTTCAAATCTTAATGATCCAGTGTGGCCTAGGTTGATCTCAAACCAAAGCAAGCAGCTATTCCATAAAGAAACAGGGCATAGGGGCAGGGAGAAGGCTCAGAGGACAAGTGCACATGCTTTGCAATCAGGACACTGGTTTCAACTTCCAGCACTATAGGATCCCTCAAGCAGGAGCACTTCTGAGAAAGACACACAGTGTGGACCTTCACACTCGAGTATGCCTCCCATCCCCACAGCAAAGAAAGAAAGCAAGGTTTATTCAAAATCAAAGAGCAGAAGTAAAGGCAAACTTGGATGGTTCACTCCTGGTGAGATTACTTGCTAGTCTGACAATCCATCATATGACCTCCGAAGGACCTCTTGACTGGCTTTGGTGGAGGGAAACAGTGGGAGATTCAAGGTATGTTGGATCCTATGGGTTTCTAGTATATATGGACACTCCCTTTGTATGTTTCTGATCCTACTTAAATGGGATCTTAAATAGCAAAGTTCACAATTAAGTCGTCTTTTTCAATCCAAAGCACCATACCCAACCCAGATCTCACTCTAAAAGCTATTGTAGTTATTTGTCTTTCTAAATTGTTCTTTTATAGGAGAAACTATAACCTCCTTAGTATAATAGATTCTAGAAAAATGCCAGGCACAGGAGAGCCTAAAAAAATATTTCAAATCTAAATCACTGGGTAGATAACAACATTAGGTCAATGTGAAAGTTTTTGATAAGGGTTTTCTAAAAAAATTGATGGAATAAGAAACCCATCTAAACAATAATATACAAAGTGTCCTACATAGGTAGTATTGAGTTTCACATATTCATATTTCATGTTAGGCACACTACATGTAAGATACAACTACACCTTCCTCCCTTCATTTTCCACCATATTTTCCACCCATCTCTCCTAACGGAATTTTATGATTCTTTATCCTTTTCTACCTTCAAATGACACCCTCAAGCAGAATCTCGCATTTGACAAATTTCATCAGAACAATGCCACGAGATTATAGGAATTGAAAAAAACCTTTAGAGATTACAATATTTTGTCTTTCTCCTCTCAACAGTTGACTTACTCAACATGCTCACCATTTCATGTGTACCTGAATGTCCCTCAAACATCTCCATCGCCATCATTTTTTCAATGTGTTACACCTTCCCCTAATTTATTTAGCTTCCAGTTCATCCTGAACTCTGTCAATGCTAGTCATTTCTACAAATTACTTTATGTACCTTGCACCAGGATAATCCCTTATTCTTGCTTACTCCTACTCTTTCACTGTTTTCAGTACTGAGCTAAAAAATATTGTCCGAGAAATGGCATCCTGTGAATTGTATGTTTAATTTCATACTTTCTAGTACTACTTGAGCTTTTCATCACCTTTACAATCCTTTTGTTCATTAAGATCAACTACTTTGGATTTTGACAAACATGTTTTCTAAATCCTTACTGCTTCCATCAAAAGGTCAGTGCTATCAGAGCCCTGAATATTTGGTTAATGACTTGGCCTCCTTTTCACTATGCCGATCCCTAAACTCACCCCTCTTCACCCTCAAAGTATCTCCAGGTCTTTACTCTTTCTTCCCACTTTCTTAGTATTGAAGAAATGATCCTGGTTTGCAGATAGTCACCTTCTTGCTGTATCTTCATCAAACGCATAGAGCAAACAAGCTCTTGGATATCTTGCACTATACAGGAATAAATCCTATCACAAGGCCTTACCCTCAAGACATTCTATAAAACCAAATGATCCCCAAGAACCCCGTCAACTACTACCTTGCCAATAGGGTAGGCCTGGAAGACATGATTACCAATTGAGAGTGGAAATATTAAATTGTACTTCTATTTTGTTAACTTCTATTTTGTTAAGCAAGTATCTGCCTAACACAATATTTGCTAGTGTTTAATAAAAGTTAATATATTCAATATTGATAGCAATCTTGTGAAGCAGGCACTACCATTCTTTTACAAAGGAAAAACAAGGAAAGGGCTAGAAAAGGGAAGCAAAGGTAAATGGTACTGCACCCAACAAAAGAGTTTCTCCACCACAAAAGAAATGATGACAAGAATAAGACACCCCAAAAACTGGGAGGGGACATTTGCTCACCGCTCATCTGATATAGGGTTGCTATGTAAGATTTCGAAAACACTGGTAGAACTTTACAAGAAAAATAAAAACAGCGAAAATGGTGAGTGAAAAAGAACAGAAGCTTCCTCAAAGAAGACATACACATGGCCAAAAGGTATAGGAAAAAATGCTCTGCCTCACTTATCATTGGGGAAATAAAAATCAAAACAACAGTAAGATATCAACCAGTAAGATTCTTAACCCTACAAAGGAAAAAACTGAAACAGTGTTGAGATGGATCTGGGGGGAAAGGGACCTCGCTCACAGCTGATGGGAATGTCTACAGAGAGCCTTTTGGGAAAGCAGTATGGGCACTTCTCAAAAAATGGGAATTGAAATTCCAAATGACGCAGCCATTCCACTTCTTGACACCCTAAGAACCCAAAAACTCTATTCAGAAAAGATATATGCACCCCTGTGTTCATTGCAACGCTAATCACAGTAGGCAAAATCTGGAAACAATCCGTGTCCAGGAACAGATGACTGGATAAAGAAACTGTATGCATGCATGCATGCACAATGGAATTCTTACTGGGTGATATGAAAAGCTAAGTCATGCAAGTTGCCACCCAGTGGATGGATTTGGGAAGTATTATGCTGACTGTAGACAGAAGGAGGGGGAACAGACCCAAAATGATGGGTCTCCTGTGAGAGATACAAAGAGACAGAATAGGGAGATAACAAGCGCCCAAAGGCAACAGAAACTCAGAACTGTTCTTCATTAGGAAGCTTACCACAAGATGTTGGGGGTGGGGGGAAGAAAATACTGGGACCATGATGGGGGCAAACTGACACATTGATGGAGTGTGTGGAGCTAGGGTGTGATACCCATGAAGACCCAGGTGGTGACCTGTGTCTGTAAGATATATGGGGCCTAGAATAATTTTAAAAATAACAACAATAAAAGGAGATTAAATAAATTACCCAGGTTTAAATTCTTCTGTCCACGACAGGGCGAGACACAGTCCAACAAGGCCTCCCGGGGCAGAAAGGGGTGCCCTGGAATGACAGGTTTGGAGAGTTCAGAATGTTTGAGATACACCTCACCGTATCTGAAATAACAAAGCAATCCCTCTTGATTAATTTTGCAATATTCTGTCTCTCCGCCTACAACGTCCTGCAACCTTAGAAAAGCTATGTTTTGTGATCCTAAAACAAATCAGGGAAAAGGCCACTTTGCTCACTCACGTGGAGTCTGAAACGACAGGGACCTCCAAACAAGAGTTGAAGATGAAGAATAAAATCTGCAAAAATCAAATGAAAAAAAAAGAGGATAATTTTTTTTTTTAAATAGGGCCCCCAATTCAAGTTTCAGTCCTAAAATTCCTGAGCATGCGCTGTCCTGATTCAAGCAGCAAGCGGCGCGGTGGCAGGCGGTGCCGGGGCGTGGGGTCGACTCCCTCCAGCTCTCGGGTTTGCAAAGCCGCAGAGCGGATCCCGAGCCAGAGGAATGAGCCTGCGGCGCGGGGGTGACGGCGCCCCGGATGTCACCCCCCTTTCCCTCCGCCCCTCTCCGCCCTTGTCACCCCGTCGGGGCGGGGCCGCTCCTTCCCGGCCCGGGTGGACCTCGGGATCCGGGAATTTCCCTGCCCCGGCTCTACGGACTTTCCAGCCCGGATCATGGATAAAAGGGGCTGGCGGCTCTCGGGGCGCTCAGATCGCTCTGCAGGCTCTTCCTCCGACTCCTGCGCTCCACGCTCAGACCCTGCACGCTCAGCACCATGGCCCGCGCCGCGACCCCCGCTGCCCCCCGCGCTCTCGGGACCCTCCGCGCCGCGCTGCTGCTCCTGCTCCTGGGCGCCGCCTGCCGGCAAGCTGCAGGTAAGACCCCGCCACTCCGCGGCCCCGGGCGGCCCAGGGCGACTCTCCAGGGGACCCCCCAGCTCACCAGCTCTCTCCTCCCTGCAGGGGCGTCCCTGGCCTCCGAACTGCGCTGCCAGTGCCTGGAGACCATGCAGGGCATTCACTTCAAGAACATCCAGAGCGTGACGGTCACGCCCCCGGCACCCCACTGTCCCCGCACCGAAGTCGTGTAAGTGTCAGCCGCGTGGTCCTGCGCTGCCTCCTTGCATCCCGTTATCCCCCAGGCGCATCCCCAGCGCGACTTCTTCTCATGGCATCCTCGCTTCTCTCCGCAGAGCCATTCTCAAGAACGGTCAGCAAGCCTGTCTCAACCCCGAAGCCCCGCTGGTTAAGAAACTCATCGACAAGATGCTGAAAAAGTGAGTTGGTGGGTCTGTCCCAGGTTCTGCCCCCATGGACCCCCTGCAGCCTCCGGGTCCCATTTAGAGAAGCAGAGATTTCCTGGGCAACCCTGGAAGTAACCAGCCTTTTCCTCACAGCAGCGGCAGCACCAACAATTAGAAAAGTTCCTCCATGTGATGTCCTGGAAGACTGCTCCTGCCTTTCCAGGGACCGAAAACGGGAAAGAGAGCCAGACCATCCGCCTCTGGGACACCAAGAAAGTCGCTCATGTGCTTGACTATATTTTGTGTGTGGGAATTCTATTTATGTTTGTATTTATTTTCCAAAGCTTGTATTTTAATATTTTACTTATTATTATTATTATTATTATTATTATTATTTAAAGACGTGAATGTTTTGTAAGAACATAATCAGTTGGATTGCTATTTGAAGATAATGAGCTTGGAGTTATCTTGTGAAACATGAATTGTGCCAGACATCGAGTGACGGCACTGTGTTGGAGGAGGAAGGGGCGGAGGAGAGGGTGGTGAGTGAGGCCAGCTCTGAGGCCAGGGAAAGTGACAGCACTTCTGCTTTTGTACTGGTTTGAAGGAATGTCATTGTTATTTATTGAAATTGTTTCATATTAGGTGTTCAACATGAATATGTTGAGGCTTCCCTTGGACATTTTATGTCTTACTTGTAGGGCATAATGCCCTGTTTAATGTTTATTCTGCAGTGTTTCTCTGACAACAGAGAAGTTCAACTGTTGTTGTTACTAATGGCATAAAAATAAAAGTTTTACAAAAAGAAATAACTTGCTTAAGTTTCATTTAATTCTTGGTTGTTTGCTTCCTGTTGATTTCTAAGGTGTCCGTAGCTAAATCTACCTTTGTGGCTACTCCTACTAGTCACCTTATATTTCTCACACTCAAAAGGACCTTTGACACACCATCCTCCCAACTACCTTGAGAGTCCTAAGACTTAAACCCCTAAAATTTAAAAAAAAAAATCATTGTTTCTGGCTTTTATACTAATTATTCAAAATATTTCTTTAAAATAAACCTTTGGATTTTAATACGGATCCTATTGAATGCTTTTGACAAGTTGGTTTTTAAAGAGTCATGCAATTGTTTCCATTTTAATGATGCTAGAAAAGCAGATTCTTTTTGAAAATTTCAAATGGGCTGGAGAGAGAACAGAGGGTAGGGTGCTTGCTGGCCTTGCACACGGCTGGTCCAGGCACCCAGATGGTCCTCCAAGTCCTCCAGGAATAATCCCTGAACATAGAGAAAGGAATAAACCCTGAACACAGCCAAGTATGGCCCCAAACAAAAATTAAAAAAAAAAACAACTCAATTTTTTTTTGGTTTTTTTTTTTTTTTTGCTTTTTGGGTTACACCCAGCAATGCACAGGGGTTACTCCTGGCTCTGCTCTCAGGAATTACCCCTGGTGGTGCTCAGGGGACCATATGGGATGCTGGGAATCAAACTCGGATTGGCCGAATGCAAGGCAAACGCCCTATCCGCTGTGCTATTGCTCCAGCCAAAAAAAAAAAAAAACTCAAGCTTTTTTTACCATCTAAAATAATAACAAAAATAGTGAGGTGTGGGGATAAATACCATAAAGTAAAAAGTAGGAGTGTCTCCAGACATCTTCATTATCTCGGACCCACCTAGATCATACTATACTATCCCAATCCCTCTCAAGAATATGTCACAACCTTAGTAAATCCATAAAATTCCCTACTGCAAAACCTGATAGGAAAGACTGTTCCTTAGAGCCCCATTGCCAGCTGTGGACCTTCCCATTACTTAACCCTTTTGTCTTTTATATATACTTCACCTTGTCCTTGAATCCCTTCACTTCACACACACGGCAACCTGCTGTCCAGGTTGTGGAACTTGCTTACCTTTCCTCTCACCCAGAAGAGCAATATCCCTGGATTCAGGTTCCAAGGCTCCCCCAGTTTCTAGGCTGCAGGGCACCATGCAGATCAAGCAGACGTGAGCACACCCTGATTAACCCTTTCTGCGGGCTGGGGTGGGGGTGGGGGTTCATACCCAGCAGTCCTTAGGGATAACCCCTGGCTCCTCATTCAGATCTTACTTCTGTCGGTGCTCAGGGGACCATGTGGGATGCCAGGAATTAAACCTGGGTTGGGCGTGTGAAAGCGCTTTATCCACTGTATTCTCTCGCCAGCCCTGCTTCACAATTTTGCTAGACTGGTGGAGAACTCATCCAGGTCCTCTATAATTCCTGTTACCTCCCTAAGACATGGGAGGAAAACTTCATTGCCATGATATTCTTACTCAAAGCCTACAATCCTAGCATAACTCCAGAGAAATGATCTATAGAATCCATGTTAGGGGTCCAGAGACTAGCCCAAAGGACACAAGCTTTGCACACTGGAGCCCCATTCAATCCTTGGTACCCCATGATCTTCCCATGGGAGAAATCTGAATGGTAAGTTCTGTCAATAATAATTGTAAGTGCACAGTTTTGACAAATGTGTTATGAATATGTAAGTTTTAAGCAGAAGTATTGGGGAAGGGGTTACATGAAATTCCGTATACTACTGATACACATTTTTTACATCTAAAACTATTACAAGTTGAAAGTTTTTTCAAATGATAGATAGAATTTCAAGACCATAAACTCCAATCTAATTATATAAGGAAGTATAATAAATTTTTATAATGAATAAACATTAAGTCAAAGCTTTTTACTTTGTTATAATACTATATAAATAAGACAAAAGGTCTATGCTACTAAAAAGACTTTTTAACTATTATGATACAGATAACTTAATAGTTTTAGACCATGAAAGTTCCTGGGAAGATATATTAATGTATTAATTACTCATTAGTAATCATTACTCTGGTATTAATGTGCTAATGATAAATATATTGAGGGCTAATTTGTATTTTAGTATTTAAGAAAGAAGTAGTCTTAGAGAGAAAGATGATTGATTCAACATAAAAATGAGACAACTATAAATAACAAAACAATTCTAAACATTATGAGTGTTATATAATCAAAATCTATAAAGCAAAATAGAAGGAAAATGCAATAGAAGAAACAATAATTAGGGATAATTATCATAACAAATCTCTGAACATTTAATAAATAAAGTAGTAAGACATTTGGAACAGAAGTAAAGAAAGTGATCAAACAACTTCTGAGGGTAGTATATAAGCTCTAGACCTAACAGCTGCATGGATAAAACTTTTTTTTCAAAAAGTGGAGCTGGGGCTAGAGAGATATCACAGTGGGTAGGGTGTTTGCCTTGCACGCGGCCGACCCGGGTTCGATTTCCAGCATCCCATATGGTCCCCTGAGCACCGCCAGGAGTAACTCCTGAGTGCAGAGCCAGGAGTAACCCCTGTGCATCACCAGATGTGACCCAAAAAGCAAAAAAAAAAAAAAAAAAAAAAAAAAGTGGAGCTGTGAGATTGTTCCTCTTCTAAAAAAAAACAAATATGGGCCATAAAGATTTTGCCAACAAATTTCAAAATGTTGAAAATTACATGGGAGAAGTTCCAGTTGTCAAGTTTTTAATGGTGATTTGTAGTTTTCCTAAATGAAATATGTATCCATATACTGTGTGTGATACATCTGTGGTTTATTACTCATCCCTCAGCTTCCTAAATCTTGTTGACCTAAGATAGGAAGCATCAAAACAGAGTCATCATTATATACTGATTATCATGACTATAACAAAAAGCATTTCCACAAAGGCAGTTTCTCATCTACTGCTTTTATTTTTCATAGTCTTTTGTCATTTTGGCATTCCTGTATAACTTTGGTCTATACTATATATGATATATTTTAATGATTCATTCTTTGCTAGATTTTTATTTATTTTTTAAATTGAATTACAGTAACATACATAGTTACAATGTTTTTCATGATTTGGCTGGAGTGATAGCACAGCAGTAGGGCATTTGCCTTGCTCGTGGCCAGCCCGGCTAAGCCGAGTTCAATTCCTCCGCCCCTCTCGAAGAGCCCGGCAAGCTACCAAGAGCATCTCGCCCGCATGGCAAAGCCTGGCAAACTACCCGTGATGTATTCGATATACCAAACACAGTAACAACAAATCTCACGATGGAGACGTTATGGGGCCCGCTCGAGCAAATTGATGAACAACGGGAGGACAGTGCTCCAGGGCTACAGTGGGTTTTAGTTGTATAATGTTCCAACACCTGTCAATTTACCAGCATACATTTTCCACCACCAATGTTCCCAGCTTCACTCCCCACCCCACGCCTCTAAGGTAAGTTCCCTCTCTCCATTCTCTCTCTCTCTCTCTCTCTCTCTCTCTCTCTCTCTCTCTCTCTCTCTCTCTCCTTTAAGTCAATTATCTATTGGGCATTAATCATTTATTCAATAGTACATGCGCAAAAATTTGAAAAGCAATCTTACGAAAATGGAAAAACAAAATTTATAGTTGAAATCTATTCTTTTAAAATCTTCGGAATTATGCCCAAACTTAAGAAGCTGATGGTGCTCAGTGTTAACTCCATGCATTTAAACAATCATGGATCATTGAAATCATCAGAATGACTTGAGCACAGGAATCAGAGAAAAGACTGCTGTATTGTAAAAGGAAGTATGCAAGTTAGGTATCAAAGAACCTCATATTTGGTGCTTAGTTTTATCCATTCTGGATGTTTTTTGCAAAACTGACCATTTATATAGCCTATTGTATGTGGTAGAGGTCTATTGTTGGGCATGTGAGAGTTTTTAGGTATGCCTGGCATTGCTTCAGGCTCACTTCTGGCTCTGTGCTCAGGAATTACTCTTGGTGGTGCTCAGAGAATCATATGTGGTGCCATGGAGCAAAACCTGCCACACGCAGGCACTTAAACCCTATACTGTTTTTCTGACTCATATCTGTCTAATAACTGTCTTCTAAGGTTAATTTATGGCTTTTTCCTCATTTCTTCACACAGCCCAATCCTTTAGGTTATCCCCCGGTCTTTAACCCTCTCATGGTAGGCAACCAATAAATGTCACAGTGTGTTCATACAACAGAGCGTTGAGAACACCTGGAGGCAATGTTAAAGCTGACCAACAAGCAGACTCCTCTGGGAACAGGGGTCCCCTCTCAGTGTCACCCCCTCCCTTGCCTCAGTCCTTCCCCTCTCCTCAAGGAAGCCCCCTCCCGCTTCCAGCTCTTTCTGATTGCTGTAGTTTTGCTCACCTTAGCCTTCTTCTGGAACATCTATGAACCTTCCTGTTCCAAACTGACCTAGAACTCTTCTTTCTGTTGTTGTTATTGTGTTCTTTTGTTTTTGGTTGTTGTTGTTTGGGGCCCCCTCCCGTTGATCGTCGATTTGCTCGAGCGGGCCCAGTAAAGTCTCCATTGGAGACTTTGTTGTTACTGTGTCTGGCATATCGAATACTCTCGGTAGCTTGCCGGGCTCTCCGAGAGGGGCGGAGGAATCGAACTCGGGTCGGCCATGTTGGCCGCTTGTAAGGCGAACGCCCTACCCGCTGTGCTATCGCTCCAGCAAAATTCAGGTCGGTTGTGTGCAAGGCAAGCAATTTACGCACTCTGCTATTTTCCTGACCCTGAGTTCCTTATTCTTAAGATTGAAATGAGTAAGCATGAGGCAAACAGACAGCACAGGGGTTAGGGGACTTCCCCTGGACGTGGCTGACCCCGGGCATTGCATGTTTTCCCCTGAGCATTACCAGGAATGACCCTTGATCACAGAGCCAGGATGAGTACCTGACCATTACAGGGGTATAGCTCCATATCCTTTGCCACCCCCTTCCAAAAAAAAAAAAAAACCC